ATCATAGTTATAATCAGGTGTGCACATACATTTTTCGGTCTGGTTCTCATGAGAGCAGCTGGAGATATGGTTTGGTACACACACACACCACATAGTGTGACTCATTAAATACAACTATAAAAATAAAATAATGAATACTAGTGATAATAGTATTATTGCATTTATTTATTTTGTATTTTAATAAAATAAATAAAATAATATACAAAATAATCAGTGTGGTAATGCTATTGTATTTAAAAAATAAGTAGAAATAAGTAGTACAAATTTAGTATAAAATAAAAATAGTTATTAAATAAAATATAAAAGGTTAAAAAATAAAAAGTTATTTTATAGTACACTTAAAACTACAATGCTAATATTAATGAAAACATTTTTTTTATGAATTTTCATCATTTTCAAACCTAATATCATCAAGATTTTATTTTGGCGGGTTGAAGTAAGTATATGCGCTGCCGAGTGAAGTTTTGCATTTTGCTATGAAACCAGCAGCACATAGAATAGATTTATGCTTTCGGTTTGAGTGGAAATCTAAAACAGTATTACAGTTATTCGACCTAAAACAGTGATTGTGTGTTAACAGCTGTCAAAAACGTCGGTACGCAAATGAACAGTCTAAACATATTTACACATCGCATTTTTTTATTTGGACACGTATGCACACCTGCGCACCAATTATGTGCACCCCTGGTTATAATGCATTGTAACACCTTTAGGATGTATAATGCATTACAAAACATGACAAACAAACCATCAGATATAATGCAGCCAGAGGCTGTGAGGCTCCAGAAAGGACAAAATATTATATATATATATATATATATATATATATATATATATTATAAAAGTAGTCAAAAGTAGCATCATGGACTTTCTGCTAAACAACCGGTGGTACATGAAGGCAAGTATATGATGACCGAGTTCTCATTTAAGGTGCTTTATGAAATGAAGTCATTAAGGCAATTGCACGGGCGATTCTTCATCTCCACCTTGTTTACAGATTTCTTTGAACGGCTGATCCTCCCCTCCTTCCATATTCCCATCAGGATTATTACCTGCACAAGGCTGCAGTCAGAGGTTCGCCAGGCAATTTTATTAATGGCGACTACAATTCCTTCAAAGTGACCTTTCTTAATTCGTAAAGAGATGCAGATGCAGGAGGCGACTCTAATGGGACACGACAGATGTGTGGCCGTCCCGTGATCATGGCCATCTTTCGCTCGTGTAAGTGTGTTAAATCTCAGTCCGTGTCAATCACCTTTGCTCAACACTTCAGCTGACAGAGAGCGAGAAAGATACGGTCCTGTTCACACATCCAGCAGACGGGACGTGAAGTGTCTGTTTTTAAAGGCCAGGCACTTTAGTGACCGAGAGCTCTTTTGTCTTATGTCTTGAAATTCAGAAAGAGCCTATCCAACAATCTGCTCCTTCCGTTTTACTGTTTTACAACCAAAAAAAATCAATGCGGAAGCTAGCAAGTTAATTATAAGCTCACAAAACTAAAGTTTAAAAATAAAGTTGGATGACCAACATATTAGAGAAGAGCATCAGTGCACAGCAAAAGAAACAAGCATTCACATGGATTTAACATTAATATATTGTAATGAAATGACTCATTTGTAATTGTAGGGAATTAATTATTATTAATACATTCAGGTTTTGAGAGGACTCGGATCTGAATATCCCAAGTCCACCTGATTAAACCGATTTCAAATTTGTTGTGTTACACTTTCAATCAAGGGTCGTCCAGGGAGCCGTGATTTCAGTATATTTTAACAAACTGACTATGTATCTGTATTTTCCCTGGCCATGGAGAACATAAAATACATATTCAATTGGTAATATACACTGACATCTTCTCGCTGGCCGAGTAGCGGATAAGGTGTAAACCATTTAAATTAAAATTCAGTTTAATCAGGTGGACCTCGACTTTTCAGATTCGAGTCCTTTCAAAACCTGAATGAATTAATAATAATTAATTCCCTACAATTACAAATGAGTAATTTCATTACAATATTATTGAAAGAGAATGTGTGTGTGTCATTTCTGTTTTGTTGACATCAAAGCTAAAGAACCAAACCTTTTAATTAATCGCTAACATGAACATAACACAGCTAGGGAATGACCTTTGTTCTGCCTCTGTTAGAGGCTGTGTATCATTTGCGATGGATATTTGCATTTATAAATATTATATTTCCATGATTGTTTAATGTTTTGTATGGGTTGCGCCTGAAGGAGGTGAGAAAGTGTTCTGACCCAACGGACCAATGAACCAAGCGGTATCATAAGTCAGAATGGGAAAATATGTTATATAAAAAGCAGCAGTGTAGGATTCTGTGAGTGAGCATATTAGTTATTGAAGCTGAAAACCAAAGAGTGCCTCTTCATCCTAAAACATTGTGTAATTGCTCTACTCCGCGCCTTACAAGTATGCTGTCCCGACGAAGCCTTGATTCCCACTGCATAACATATGTTATATTTTACTTTTAAATATTATAATTAAAATATAATTATATGTAATTTATCAGTATAGAGTGGGAATGACAGATACATTCATATAAGTGTTTGTGAGTGTCACGACAGCTACAGATAAAGCCAATAAGCCTGAATGAACTTGTCAATCCATCTTGATGACTGATGCAGAAGAACGTGAACAGGTAAACTCTGACCAATAAGAGGACAGTTTTACTCACATGTGACTTGCATAAACAACATTTGGAATGCTTTGCAATGTTGCCTTGTGAATGTGAAGCGAACCAAGAAGAAAATGCAACATTTTTACATAACAAACTATGTACTTGTCTCAGAACAAAGCAAACCATGTACAGATCTGAAAACGCACTTAAAGGAGCAAGGCGCTCATATCCTGGCTCTTGCACAGAGTTTGGCTTGCTGTTTATTTATATTACACGCTTGGAAAGCAAAACATATGAAGAGAACAGTGCAGCCTTGTTCAGGCAAAAAGTGGATAGATGTTAATGGTAGATTATGTTATTTGGTTTGTTATGGCTTTCAGAAAACACACACTCCGTCCACAGCTTTGGAACATTATGCTGATTCACTGGAAAGAAGGAGGGAAGGAAGGAAGGAAGGAAGGAAATACATAAATTAATAAATTATTTAATAAAACTAAATGGCATGTTTTATTTTGCAGTAAAAACATAATTAAAACAAGATACATTTACCTGCAAAAAAAAACTGCTTAAGATAAAAAGACCCTAATTGCACAAAACCTCAATTTTATAAACAACAACAAAAGCAGGGCAATAACATATAAACACAAGATAAAGAAAATCTAATTAAATTCAAGATAAAAAAGCAACATAACGATACTAAATAAGAACATGATGCCATGATCCTCTTGCATATTCTGCAGCAAATAGTATGTTTTCTATGCATCAAATTATGACCTTATGCATTTAAGTAGCATACACAAAGCCGCTTCACAAAATACTCTATCCCACATTGCAATGCACTCAACTTGACCTTCCACTTCCTATGTATGTGTGTGTGTGTGTGTTTGTGTGTGTATATATATACACACACAGAGTTCTGGCATGAAACTCTAGATGGCGCAGTCCGATAGGTCTAACTCAATCTGACCTAATGACATCATTATCACATGGCACAGCTGATTGGTTCTCTCCTGTATCAGTAGCCAATACAAATATATGACTAGTGCTTAACGTAGCAGTTGCAGCTTGCTTCAGAAACCCTCCACCTTCCCCAGCTCCACCTGTATAGATCTGCTACAAGGTGATTCATGTATGTTATATTTGCAGCAGCAATATTTCTTACATGCTCACAGCAGCATGTTGTGGATGTATTGGCAGAAGCAAGTCTCGGTACGTAGCAGATCAGCGTAGCAGATCTATTCCGCCAAGACAAAATACATTAACATTGTCGTGTACATTACCATGCCAAACCCTCTATGCAGAGGGTCGTGTTGAAACACATAGTGCTGAAACACATCAGAAACAGAAATGAACCTAAAAGTTGGAGGATGAACAGAACGAAACACATTGTGAGTGTCCTCAGAAAATGCTTTATAATCAGTTTCTACAGCTGTTCTCTCTGACTCTCTGTTTTGTCTCTGGTGGGAAAAATACTGAAGTGAAAACAAGACTTGCAGTTTCGTTCTGACTTTTCTAAAACTGTTTAGAGCAGGTACATTATATTTAAACCTCTGCATTACACCACAGTATTTAAATAAATGATATGCGTAATGAAATAGGTGATTTTGAGTGTCTCTCATAGGAAGCACATGGATGGTCTCGGTCACAGAGCTGCACTTTTGCACCTGTCTGCAGTACAGTATGACACAGTGTTGGTCTGTGTATATCATCATTCAGATGTTTCAGCCCGATTAAAAAAGATGCTGTACAGTAAAATAAAATAAATAAATTGCAATAAAAAATAAAATGATGTGTTAGGTTAGGGTTAAGGTTAGGTTAGGTCCAGCTGTTTTTCTTTTTTTTTTTTCAGTCAGCTGGTCTCTTCCTATGAAAGCTATGGAAAAATGAATAATTAATATAAAAAAAATATGCTTTGGTAAATCATTGAAATGATGACAAAATGAAAAATACATTTATGACATAAAATGGGGAAATAAAAAAAAATTAGATCAAAATTGTGATATTGAATGTAATATTTATTAAATAAAAACTCACAATTGACCAAATGTAATAATTATGAGAAAAAAGTCAAAATTATAAGTCATAATAATAATAAACATAATCATGACATAAGAAGTTGAAATTATGAGATAAAAAGTCAAAACTGATATAAAAGGCCATAATCATGCCAGATTTTGACTGTTTAACTCATAATTATAACTATCATAATTCAATTTTTCTATCTCATATTTATGACTTTGTGTGTGTCATCATTTTTGTATGCCAGTTTGTGCATTTTATCTCATAATTGTGACTTAGAATCTCATAATTTTGACTTTTTATCACATCATTATGACTTTGCATCACATATTTCTGATGATGTGTATGTCACAATTTTTGCATGCTCTCTGGGCTCTGAAGAAGCACAGAACTGACCGAGTCCAGATTATCATACGTGCTGCAGCCGAGTGGACCCGTCCGCGTCTCCGTCACCTGAAGACAGACACAGATCACATCAAACCAGGGGCGTAACATTTGTACTTTACTAAATTAAACATTTAATTAAAAAAGCTACAATTAAAAGTACACACATATTCAGATTTATAAATATTTTCTTCCATGTTTTTGACCTCTGCATCATTGCGTTTTAAATTGTACCCTGTTTGTATGTTGGTCAGACAAAACATTTGATGCAATATAATTCACTTTGCATTGAGAAGTTTATTCAAAATGAGTTAACAAGACTCTCTTGTTTTTATTTTTTGCTAGATTAATTCTACTTTTTAAATACACTTTAAAGTTGTACTTTTACTCAAGTATGTTTTTGGCCAAATATTTGTATAAAAGTATTTAAACCCCCTGCGTGAAACAGATCACTATGAACATGAGTGCTGGTGCGCTGCAGCAGGACGCATTGTTGATTAATTACCAGCTGGATGTAAGAGCTAAAAATATCACAGCAGAACATCTACAACTTCAAAACCTGCTGAGGCGCATCTCTGACTCCAGAGGGCCTTACTGTATCTTGTTTCACATTTAGTATGAATTGCCCAGTAGGCTTTAAAAAAAGACGACTGTCAGAGACTTTATTTTGCATTGAAAAGTATTGCATTAGTGGTATTTCCTCAAATATCTTAATCTCTGATAAACAATTCCAGTGGTTTTAGTAACAAAGTCGAAATTTTAATATTTCCAGTTGCGGTCAATAGTATGGACACACATTTCTGAAATTATGATTCTCATGATTGCATGCATGTATGCATTAATTCATTCAAAAGCAATGAAGGGGTCTGAAATCTATTTTAAATGTGTTTTTAAGATTTCTAAGCTTTGCATTTCACCAACTACACATGAAAATGTCACAGTGAAAATTAAATACAACACCTTTTTTGGTAACACTTTAGTAACTTTGCAACTACATGTCAACTAGCAGTTAGTAGAGTATTAGTAGACTGTCTGCTTAATATCTTCTAACACTTTCTTTGTCAACTTATTCTACTAACCCTAAACCTACTCTAACAGTCTACTCTGAGAGTTAGTAGACATGTAGTTGCAAATTAATGAGAATTAGTTGACATGTAGTTAGAATGTCTAAAGTGGACTATCGAAATAAAGTGTAACCCCTTTTTTTAAAGGGGTCATATGATGCTTTTTTAAATATTTGGTGTGTGCGTGCACATTTGGGCGGCATTATACAAATATTTCCACACAGTGATGTAGATATGTGGGGGCGTGTTACAACGAGCTGTTTTAGGGGGGCATGGGAGAGTCTTAACTTTGATCAAGAATATCTCTTTGGTTTTGAGACTTTAGTCTTTGCAACTTCAGGGATCTTATCTATGCACAATCAGCTTGTAACACTCCAAAGAGAAAGGAAAACTTGAAATCGCATCATATGACCCCTTTAATATCACTATATTATTTACAACATACATTGGTGCGGTTATTGCGTTATACAGTATATTGCTAGCCTTGGTGTGTTAGATCATAAAGTGTGTGCACCACCTTCCATCCCAGGAAACTCAATCAATATGTTCTTGTAATGGCCCTGGGCGAAAATGGTAAGTCCTGTTGCTTAGAAAAGTAATAGCACACCTCCCTTGTAAGCTGCATGGTTTGAGTAATCAGTAATCATTCTTGTCTGGGACGACGTACGCACCACAGGTTTGAGCAGAAGAAGTATAAGCAATAGTAATAGTGATGGTTACCTGAGCAAACACTCACCAAGGGATCCTCTGTAGTGAATGGGTGCCATCAGAATGAGAGTTCAAACAGCTGATAAAAACATCACAGTAATCCACACCACTCCAGTCCATCAGTTAAAAACTTGTGAAGCCAAAGGTTGCGTTTGAAAGAAACAAATACATCAGTAAGATGTTTTTAACTTCAAACGGTTGCTAAAATATGAGTCCATAATCCATAATAACACTTCATCCAGTGATAAAGTACATCCCCTGTTGCCCTCTCACATCAAAATCCACCCAACATATTTGTTCTAAACTCTTTTGGTGCTTGTTCTGTGTATATTTCTCTCCTGATTCAGACCAGATTATTATTTTTTTCCCACTGGAGGAAGCAATATTATGCATTATGGAAATTAAAAACATCTTGATGGATTTGTTTCTTACAAACATGCAACTTTTGGCTTCACAAGACATTAATTAATGGACTGCGGTCATGTTGATTACTTGTGGATTATTGTGATGTTTTTATCAGCTGTTTGGACTTTCATTCTGACGGCACCCATTCACTGCAGAGGATCCATTGGTGATGTAATGCTACATTTCTCCAAATCTTTTCTGATGAAGAAACAAACAGCTGCATCCCGGATGAGCACATTTTCAACACATTTCAAATTTTGGATGAACTATTCCTTTATGAAATCCATTCTTTTAATTGTTTAGACTAGTTCTGTGTTATTTTTTTCCATCTTGAATAGCGAATTCATGACTCAGAGGTTTGAGATTCCCAGGTGCATTTGAGGCAGCATTGTTGCCTGATCTCTTCTTGATTGTCTCCAGGTGTTTTGTAGTTTGTTCATTTACCTCCCTGAGTATTTATAGCCCTTGTATTCCTCAGTGTAACAAGGTATTAGCTGATGAGTTCTTGAAATTTAAGGGGGTCTGAATACTTTCCGTACCCACTGTATATATATATAAACTAATATATAATTGCAGATCATTTATTATTAATTAAATTTAAAGACCAATTAAGTACACTTAGAGAGACACTTTCGTAAAAGGTTCGGTAACACATTATATCAAGGTGTCCTTGTTACATATGTTACATGTACTTACTATTATAGTAACAATGAATTATGCATAATTACATGCAAGTAACGCTACGCCAAACCCTAATCCTAACCATATAGTAAGTACATGTAGTTAATTAATATTAATCAGTACTTAAATGTATAATTTCACTGTAACAAGGAGACCTTAAAATAAAAAGTGTAACCAAAGTTTCTTAGCACACTTAAGTACACTTTTATAAAGTGCACTTTGTAATGACAAAAATAAAGTTTTATATTAAAGTATACTTTTAAATCTGTGTTTTAATAATCTTTCTTCATGTAATTGCTTTAAAGAAGTACACTTATTTTGATGTGTTGACTAAAATATTAACGCACATGTAAGGTACTTGCTTATAATTTTAACTGTAGTGTGTTATTTAATATTGTACTTAAAAATGTACTAAATTGCAACTTCATCATTATAAATGTACATTCACCAGTACACTTTAACCATATCTCAAAGTGAATACATTTATGAAATTACATATAAAGTTGTACTTAAGTCCTACTTAAGATATTGCATTTAATACAAATGTAAACTACAATACATTTTTCATTTAAATGCAGTTAACATGCAATTACGTGTTCAAAAACATTATATTCAGTTCACACTTATGTATTCTTTTAACATATATAATGTTTGTAATAAAAGTATGCTAAAGTGTACTTCTGAGAGCTACAATATAGATTTTCAGTGATTAATGACTTAAATTTGCGTCTGTTCTGCACATCCAATACACACAAATTAATCAATGTAATGCAAACAGAGCAGCGTGAACATTCAGATAAATATCTGCTTTTCTCCTCCACCAAAGAAAATGTCTAATATTTCTGACTAAATGATGGATTGTTCATGTTTTAGCAAACTATTCCCTTAAAATCCCTTTATGAAGCTCTGTAACACACATCACTTGGCATGAAAAGGGACTAATCTTTGGAGTCTAAAAGCTTCAGGAATCTCTCTGTTACTTATCCGGTCCATGAACTTCCGTCTGCTAGCCATCAGAGGTCACCCTTTCCATTTTCATTGACTCTCGCACTACACACTATTGCACATCAACCATCATTCATTGCACTGATTGCACACAGCACTGATTGCACACAGCTGTTTCATATCACTCATTCACTATTTAACACCCAATCTCACGCCGTTCTGGTTGCCGAGTATTGTATGAGCTAATTGCCCACAGTGATAGCTACTCTACAGAGCCCTCTTTAGCTTCCTAGCTCAGCCTAGTCTTGCCTTGTCCGTTTTCTCGGTTTTTGATCTGTGCCTGTTTTCCTGGATTTATCGCTTTAGTCTCGCCCTTGTGATCCTGTTCACCAAGCGTTGACCTACGCTAGCCCTAGGACTATTCTTGTGTCTTGACCGCCATATACCTGTTAAGAGCCCTCTTTAGCTTCCTAGCTCAGCCTAGTCTTGCCTTGTCCGTTTTCTCGGTTTTTGATCTGTGCCTGTTTTCCTGGATTTATCGCTTTAGTCTCGCCCTTGTGATCCTGTTCACCAAGCGTTGACCTACGCTAGCCCTAGGACTATTCTTGTGTCTTGACCGCCATATACCTGTTAGCCACCGTTCGACCCTGCCTGTGTTTCTGACCTCCTCTGATGTTAATAAAGCTTGCATATGGATCCGCACGTCTCATGTTTTGTCAGCCCCGTAACAGAATACTCGGCCACACAAGGATCCAGCGGCTTTTCAAGTGAACATTGGCAAGGTATGGACACTGCAAGGCTGTTGTTAGCCCTCGAGCAGGGCACACGCTCGCTCGAGGATTACATTCAAGAGTATCTGGACATTGCCTATCACTCTGATCTACCGGACTGTGTGTTAATAGATTTTTTCTGTAATGGCATTAAACAACCGCTAAGGTCTAAGCTCATACTTGAGGGTCCACGTTCGTCACTATGTGAGTTTATGGATTATGCGTTATTGACTGTTGGCTCTTTGTGGACTGTGGGTATCACGGAGGAAGAACGCGATACCGCATCTGTGCCTGAAATGGCAGCCGCACCAGAGCGTGCTCGCATGATGGCGGCGACAGCGGAGCCCATTTGCAAAATGGCGGCCACACTAGCGCACGCTCACAAAATGGCGGCGACTGCGGAGCACACTCACAAGATGGCGGACACAACAGCATCCCGTTATGTCACAGCTGCCCTTCATGAGTCCAGTCAAGTCACCATTGATCCTCCCAAGTC